CCCCCCCCCCCCCTTTACAGAAATGACTGAATTCCCTTATCTTTTAAGTTAATAGATATGTTAAGAAAGCGTCCAAGATTTCAGTCCCTGATCATAGATGGATACACCGATCAGCTTTTGTGAGTGCTTTCACTGTCTAATATTTATCTAAGTATTAATAATTAATTAGCACTCTCTTTTTACTTATGTATTAATAACTTCCAAATACAGATCGCTTGAAATTACATTCTTTGCCAATAATTCTACTAGTTAGGGTTTAAACTTATCACATGTCTGATTTCTGAAAATTCTGACATTTCTGAAATCACTCTATATTTACATCACACAGCTAAGTTGCACTAATCAAACACATTTTTACTCCAGAATTAGTAATCATTAGGTTCATTGTTTACTCCTCCTAATAAGGCTTTCTGTTGCATTAGTTTTCTGCAGGCCGTGCTCTTCCTGGTGTGTGCTCTACTGTACTGCTTTGGTCAGGATGAATATGTGGCCTGTCTAGTTCTGTGTCTTGCCTTGAGCTGGGTGAATCTACTCTACTTCTCCAGGGGGTCCAAAAATATGGGAATCTACAATGTCATGATACAAAAGGTGAGTGATAATTGTCTTTCTTATCCATCATCCTTTGCTCTGGCCTTCAGATTAGAGTATTAGTAAAGTATGGTTTGTGTAGCACTATGCAACACATTTAATGCCTCATTTTAGTGTACACCAGTCTTTACAGTTCAGGCTTTTTACTTCATGTGTATACGACACACTCTCACACTCTTTAATTATTGTCAGATGGTTCTTGGAGAAATTCGTCGATTCCTTGTCGTGTACATGGTCTTCCTCATTGGGTTCTCTGCAGGTATATTTGCATACATTCATGAATGTCCTTGACTCTTTTACATTTACATTTATATTTAGTCATTTAGCAGACGCTTTTATCCAAAGTGACTTACAAATGAGGACAATGGAAGCAATCAAAATCAACAAAAGAGCAATGATATGCAAGTGCTATATGACAAGTCTCAGTTAGTTTAATGAACGCAGTATACATAGCAAGGTTTTTTTTTTTTAAATAATATAATAAATAAAAAGAAAACAGAAATAATAGAAAACAAATAGAGCAAGCTAGTGTTAGAGGTCTTTTTTGCTTTTGTTAATTGTATAATAAATGAAAAGAAAACAGATAGAATACAAAAAGATTAGAAAGCTAGTGTTAGTTTTACTTATATATATAAATAAAACAAGCAGCAAATGAATAGAGTGCAAGTCTAAAAGGAACAAGTTTTTTTTTAAAGAATAGAATTAGAATAGAGAGTGCTAGAGTTAGAGGGTCAAATAAAGATGGAAGAGATGTGTTTTTAGCCGATTCTTGAAGATGGCTAAGGACTCAGCTGCTCGGACTGAGTTGGACAGGTCATTCCACCAGGAGGGAACAGTTCATTTAAAAGTCAGTAAAAGTGATTTTGTGCTTTTTTGGGATGGCACAATCAAGCGTCTCTTTTATTACAATTAATTTAATTTTTATCACAACGCAACAAACATTTCCCAATTACACTACTGCATAAAAGTTTGGGTCAGCAAGTTTTAAAAAATTTTTTTGAAAGAAATTAATACCTTTATTCAGCAATGATGCATTAGGTTGATCAAAAGTGACATATATTTCAAATAAATTATGTTCTTTTAAATTTTCTATTGCTCAAATAATTCCACAAATGTTTGTGTTTTAATGATTTGTTTCTTATTCAACAGCCGTGGTAACGCTCCTTGATGAAAGAGTCCCTAGTATGGGACGATCTTTATTCGCTCCTATTACTGGAAATGAAAACTGTACGAAGCCCTCATTCAAGAGCATCTACTACACCACTCTGGAGATGTTCAAGTTTACGATTGGCATGGGAAATCTGGAGTTCACCGATCAGTATCAGTATATAGAGGTCTTCTATGTACTGCTAATTTTGTATATAGTGATGACTTACATTTTGATGCTGAACATGCTGATCGCTCTGATGAATCAAAGAGTGGAGGAGATGTCTGTAGAGAGCACCAGCATCTGGAAACTACAGGTGAAATCAAAGGCAAAGTTAAAGCTGTCTACCCATTTCTGCAATAAACATACAATGTAAATCCTTTAAATGATTCAGTGGGCAAAATGGCTGTAATGGTTTGCCATTTTTGTTTGTTATTCATTGTTATTCACAGCGTGCAATCACCACCTTGGACATGGAGTGGATTCTTCCCCACTGTCTGAAGACAAGGCTGCGCTCCGGGGAAGAGAAGGATCTAGGCGGGGAGCAGGAGCCTGATCGACGCTGGTGTTTCAGGTGACCCTGCTGGCTTCCACCCGAAACCACAAGATCTAAAGTCTGCATTTGTCTCCTATTTAAAAATGGATGATTCATTTTGAAAAGAGGATATTAGCATGCAAACACAAACATTATACATAATAATGCACACTTACCCTGTATTGATCTGTGTTTACTGTCAAACACACTTAAGTGAAACCATGAGCAATAATTGAAGCATGGGTCCTCTTTCTTTCAGTGTGGAGGAAGTCAACTGGAACCAATGGAACAGAAACCTGGGTGTAGTTACCGAGGATCCTGGGAAATGCATGCCTGTACCTTCCCCAACTAAACTTCAGAGAGGTAGTCAATGTTAAACAAATGTGTGTGTGTGTGTGTGTGTGTGTGTGTTTGTGTTATTTTAATCTTACATCATATCATTTGTATTGGTTACAGAGCCCAGCCGGGGTGGACTCCTGCAAACGTTCAGTAAACGCTGGACACAGAGACCACAACGCAGAGATGTACAGGAGCTGAGTCCTCTAGCTGAGGCCTCTAGCTTCGTATAATGATGCCTTTATAATCTGTAATCTATTGCAATGTATTTTACAATTCCCTTTCAGTCCAACTGGTGTAGGATATATTGTATAGGATGACTGGTTAAAACTGTTATGCATCATATCTTTTTAACTGTAATAGAAAAAAAAATGAATATGCACGTTGTAATTTAAGAAAGCATTTATATAAAATAATATACATATCTAATTTCATATGTGTGTGTGAAAATATGAAATATGAAATTTAATTTAAAAAAATATTAAATATAATGATTATTCACACTGTGGCAGGAAAAAGAACAGAATGGAAATAAAGAGCTGAAGTCAGCCATTGCTCAGTAAAGGACTGAGAGCTAGCTAAAATTAGGATGTCAACTTTATGTTCATTTTGAAATATTTGAATCATCTTTGAAATTTTGATATCATACTGATGTTTTTAGTTTTAGCAAACAGGATTTTTTCAACACAAACCAATATCACAAAAACAAAATTAGTCTCAAACTGTCATTTTGATGAGAAATAATTTTTCTATTAGATTTTGATTGGAAAATTAAGAATAGTTGGTAATTGTGTGTCCACTAAAACATGAAATAATTAAAAAAATAAATAACAGTATGTAATATTCACCTCAATGTTCACTTAATTGTGATAAAACAAAACTAATATGATTTCCATATTTAAAATATGAATATAAAAAATTGTTTAATAATTTATTCATTACATTAACACTAAACTCAAACACAAAAGTACCCCAAGTAGGCTACCTATTATTTTATTTATTGTTATATTTTTTTTTTTTACATTTAAAGACATTACATTTGAGACATATAATGATGATGGCAAACTGTACTGCACAATGAGAATGACCCTCAGACACCTTCTGTAGGCAAAACTGTACAAAGCTTGAATGTTGGATATAGACATCTTTTATTTCAGAACATTTATGTTCTCAGTGATTATGAGTGATTGCAATCAAGTGAAATATTTGCATATTCAGTTTACTTTTAATGCATACCAATGTAATTAATGAAAGCTAATCTTGGGACTGATTTTAGGGGCAACGTGCAAAACGGTTTGTGTATATCGCCCTCTTGTGGTTAGGCGTGGTGCTGCTTGTGTCTGATGTGTCACAACAGAGACCTACATCTAACAAGCATCACAGGATGATGCAAATAAGGTCCAGACACTATGAATCCACTGTGCCTAACACCAGTATACTTATTGCCACTATAATTGAATGTGTCCACTCATGTCATTCTTTACCTATTTTACTGGCCAGTAGCACACCGTTCATTAAGGTTCAGTGATGGATGGGTCATGTCCTCCGGCTATTACTTCACTGCAGAGCTGAAATGCTGTGACCCCAGATCACGAATGACTAAACTAAAATTTACATCTGCACCAGACGGCTTAAATGCGGCGACCTGCCTGGTCTGCGTCACATCCTGCACTGTATCCCTTTGATAAATAGAGCCGTTGAATAAAACAAGCTGCAATCATGCGTAACTGAGACAGCCAGGGCCTCATTCGGAGTGGAAGCCGTTTTCCCTCTAAATGTTGACTTGCCAGTCCTGAGGTTCTCTAGGAATCACCTCTAGGGTCTTTATCTCATCGTGACATTTTAACAGAATTATTCAGTTCAACTGTGCACAAACACACTATTTTGTCTGAAACTACTGAATGTTGTTTTACTCAATATAGTAACTTTTAATCGATGTATAAGCTTTGTAAAGTTGTTGTGAACGATTTATATTGTGAAGAGTGACATACAAATAAATTCTGAATAAAATTCAATGGACTACGCAAAACTGTAAAAAATTGTGTATTCTGGATGTTTAAATCCATGGCGTGTCAGATATGCTGACCGCTACATTTTAAGTTATGTACTGTGGCTGTGTGAAATAATTAACAGACCTTGTTACCAGAACTGACTTACAATACACAATTTGCGAGGACAATCCCTCAGAATCTGTTCAGTGATTTAGATGTGTCAGCAGCAAATGTTAAGTTGGTTTGCTTTACCTCAGTTTGAACCTGCAAGAGTAAACAGCTCTGCTGAATAACCACTACTAGAACCACCAATAAAATAAATTCGTTCATCACCAGAGTGATTTTGTGACCATTAAATATTTTTCCCACCTTAGACATCAATGTCAGCTCATTTATATTTGACTGTTTGCTTTGATGTTTTTAGTTTGGGATGGTCTGGTATTTCCTGCAATTGATAGCTACCAGCAGTCAACGCATCATATTTAAAACCCGGATGAGCAGACACTGCTTGAGGAAACAGTTTCTTAAAACAAGATCACTGTCAAAAAAGTCCTTGAATACTATATGAGGGTATACACAGGTTGACCAGTTCAAGGTTGAAGATTTAGCAGGTTTTGAGCAATCAACTGAAACTGAGTCATACATGAAAGCATAAATTAGAATTTTATTTTATTATTACAATATTACAAAAAAAAGAAAAAAAAAAAGAGTAGCACAACTTTCACGCTCTTCAGACTCTTCCCACGCATTCAACTGACAGCCACAGAGTGACAGATACCAGAAAGGTTTCTAGAAGCTTCCTCCATTTTACAGCAATTGCAAAATGAAAAAAAAAAAAAGATTTAAATAATGAGGAAAAAAAATCTAGTTCAGAATTATAAATAGCACAAATTGCAAAACTGAAGCTTTGAAACATGGAATAAAAAGATTTTGTTACAGCCCAGAACTACACACAGCTATAAAACAATGACGATACAATATTCTTTATTTCTTCATTTACATTATAAAGTAATTCTAAAGAACTGCTTTTCTATTCAACAAAAGCTCAAGATAATAAAAATAAACAAGGAAAAATGCTGTTCCTTTATAGTCTTATTTTTTTTTCAAAATCAGTATTCATTATACCTTTATTATAATCATGCTTGTTTGTCAAAGGAAAGTCCAAGGACCAAATACTTAAGGCTTCATGAGGGCTGTTGAGGGGAGGCAAACCAACCGTGAATCAAGACACACTCACATACACATACACACACACACACACACACACACACACCCACCCCCCATCCACCATCACACACATGTCCATACACACCTGCGCTCATCACATGCACACCAAATAAATCTGTGAACCCATATCCATATGCAGCTACATTCATACAGAGTTATTACACTTCTTTAAAGTTACATCAGTACAGTAGATAAGCCAGTGTACAATAAAATAAGCAATTCACCTGCTGTTTCACCTTTTTGACTTTTTTCCTTTTAAAAAGCCTTCAATTTAACCACAAATGATCTTGCAAGTGATCAATTTGGTCAATTCAAGCACACGTCACAAAAGAATCAGTAGCAACTACTGTACATTATTATAAAGGATGAACTAGAAAACGCAGGATCATAAACCCTTGATTTGGTACATAGTTAGCTTCTACATCATAATATTAGCAACAAGCCTACAGACACCACCTTCAGTAGTATGTTTAGTCCCGCAAACCCACTTACAGCTATACCACATATGACCCACCTGAAACTGCACAACTCATCTATACAATTCAAGTAGTAGTTTCTCATATGTTAAGAAATAAAGGGAGCATAATGATCAGGTAAAACAAAAATGGCACAGCTTTAACATTAAAACATCTGTAGCTTTTCTCCTTTGGCCTTACCAGCGTTAAAGAGAAAAGACAGAATCTTTCGCAATCATTATACAAAACTTCACTCACATTAGTGACTCAGAATGCAAAATGACACCTGATTTGTTGCATCACTGAAAGACTGTAAAAGAGGTTTTATATATGTATGCGGTTCCTGTCATTTAAGTTTCCTGCTGCTCACAAAGCATCTAGCAAAACGAGTTGATGTTTCAACCTTTCACAAGCCTAAAGCAGTTCAAATTTCACACACAAATCCATAAAGCCCATAACAAATCCATCTGATTTCTAAACATTTAGAAAAACAGGTGCCCTGTGTTACAGGAACACATGACAAGAGCTTTCACCTAGGAACAGTCTGAAGGGACCAGTGACTGGCATATTCCCGCATAGCTCAGACACTGAAGAAAGAAAGAACGGACGAAGAATGTGTCATGCTGAAGAGGGAAGTGCTCTGAGTCTGTCAGCCATTTTGATGTTATAAGACGGGCTCAAAACAAAGATCTCTCAAATGAAAGCATGTCGGTTGTCCAATGAACAGAAGGCCTGGTGCCCTCAGTTTAGAAGTGATCTATTTCACAAGACACCTTTAATAAAGTAAGCACTAACACAAGAAAGACGTTCATAAATAACCCAGGAGCACTTGAGATCTGGGCACCTAGAGATGAGACATGACAGAATTGGAAGAAAAAACAAAACAAAACTAAATTCCCTTTAGTGCCTTAAAAAAGCACTTGTTAAAAGAAAAAAAAATTGATCACTTGCAAGATTAATAACACAAAACTCTGCTCTTCCTTAGACATATTTGTATTGTTGTTTTTTCTTTGTTTTCATCAACAATCATTCATGAGGTTTTGAGCTCATTTAGTTCCTCTCGTAATGTAATTTCATTAAGACTAACAGGAGGTGTCGAGGACACGCGTGTGTGGCTGACTTCACTGAGGAGAGACTGTGTCTGAGGCTTGTGGGCTGAAGCTTATCTGTACCCTGGGTGCTGGCCTTGCGTCTCAGAGGGGGGGACCACTACCCGGCCCATAGGGGGTGGCCTGTGCATTTTCCCCATCAGGATGAGATTCTGATCTCGGAAGCAGGGCGTCTGGAAGTCCCCTCCCATGCAATCTGCTGTTTGCATCAGATTAGGCTGCCCTATTAAGGCACCTCCTACTAATCGGTAATGGGCCGCTCCTCCCATGGGGGCACAGTCCATCGCTGGGGTGGGGTTGGTATTGCCTGTGCCAGTGCCATGGAAGGGCACCGGGAGGTCCTGTGAGCCGGAACTGTCGCTGTTCGGCGTGGGAAGAAAACTACCCCACACCGGCGGCTGGTGGTAGTACTGCCCGTTGGTGTAGTGTGTCACCGCACCTGGGGGCATTGCATTGATGCTGTTGTTAGCAAGTGGCGGCGAGGGGCTGGAGGGTTTCATGGCATAAGGCTGCCCCATGCCCATTTCTGGGGGATAGGTAATGCCCTTGCAAGGGAGGCCAGGGTCAAGATTCGGGGGTTGGCAGGGGTGTCTGCCCCCTTCCGAGATGTGTTGCAGGTGAGCAAGCTGATGCTGAGTCCAGGACCTCATCTGCGGCTGTTGGGGATTACGCTGTGGTTGATGGCTTTGATGCTGTAGGTGCTGTTGTTTTATATCGCTGTGATACACATGGTTCATTGTGGCCATGTTATGTGGAGGCATCGCACTCACTGGCGCAGAAGCAGTCACTTTATCAGGAGGTCCAATAGCACACGATGGATGCATGAGGCCAGGAGCAAGTGCATTAGGGTTTCCCGCATGCACCGAGACTCGAGAACTGGCGTTGATGAGTAGATTTCGGCTAATGGGACTGGGGTTGGCGATCTGCCCTTCACACATTGACGTGGCACTGGCTCCCTGAGCCCTAGCCTGGCAGAACTGGCTTATCTGGTGCACTATGCTGTTTAAGTCTGCCTGACGTCCCTGGTGGAGCCCTCCGGCCATGGACAATGGAATGGTTGAGGTAGAAACAGTCACGTTAGGAGGGGCATCTGCAACCGGTAACTTCCGAGGACCCACCTGCAGGCTTGCAGGGGGGTTCTGTAGTTGCTGCTGAGGAAGCAGGATTGCTGAAGGTTGGTGGGCACCAGGGTGGCCTAAAGAAGGCGTGTGGGACAGAGTCTGGGGCCTCGGAAGGCCCTGGGGCTGCTGTGGCATGGAGGAGGAAGGTCGGTGTCCGAGTCCTTGGTGTGGAGGCCCAGGCTGTTGCAAAGTTTGGAGATTCTGAGGGTGTGGAGGAAGCCCCTGCAGATTCTGGGACACTCTCGGAGGTCCCTGTGATGGGTGGTGCAGGTTTAAAGTGCTGGCCGAGGTGGCTGCATAAGGGGTGCCGGCAGCATTCATAATCACCTCCGGGTGCAGACGTGCCCGTGTGCCGTTGAAGTCCTTGATGACACCCTTGACTAGGGGCACTTTAACGATGGCAAGGAGACCGGTTTTGGCAGTGGCCTGAGAGGAGGGGTAGGGACTATATCGGGGGCCAGCGGTGTCAAGTCCGTTGACTGTGCGGCGAACGTGGTTCCACTGAGGGACTTTGACGCTGTTGGGGAAGATCTTGATGGTGAGTGGATTGTTGGCAACCTTTTTAGCATAAGCATCCAATTCTGCAGGGGTTGGATACTGAGCAGATCTCATCCTTTGTGGAATGTCCCCTATATGGAGCAAAAAGGGACAAAAAGGAAGAAAAACAACAACAAATTATGCCTTGAAAGATTTGTACACAGTTTTTGTACTCCAAATTTTGTACACAAAGCAGGGCAAGTACGAGAATGGAGACAAAGTGAGGAACAGATATATTCTGGAGGAAAATGGGAAAAAGAGGCCTTGGAAAATGCATTAGTACGTCTTAATTTTACACATATATTACCATTCAAATGTATGGGGTCAGTTTTTTTTTTTTTTTTTAAGAAATTAATAATTTGATTCAACAAGAATGGATTAAAATGATCAAAAGTGACAGCAAAGAAATTTATAATGTTACAAAAGTTTTCCATTTCAAATTGTTCGTTTGAAATCTATATTCAAAGAATCCTTAAAAATGTATCAGGGATTCCACAAAAATATTACGCATTACAATTGTTTTCAATATTGACAACAATCAATGTTACTTGAGCACCAAATCAGCATATTAAAATGATTTCTGAAGACTGAAGACTCAAGTAATGGCTGCTGAAAATTCAGCTTTGCTATCACAGGAATAAATTGTAAAAATATCTTAAATGTATCAAAATAGAAAACAGTTATTTAAAATTACAAACAGTAATACAGTGGGAAAAAAAAATTTAAAATATTTTTGATCAAACAAATGCAGCCTTGGTAAGCATGAGAGCAAAATGGTAAGCAAAATCTTACTGACCCCAAACTTTTGAAAAGTAGTGTACATTATCAGTCAAAAGTTTAGAGCACACTTAACTGCATTTGTTTGTAGTGATCTTGAAATTAATCTTGAGATCTTTATTATTTATCATTTTTTGCTCACTACTCATTTCTATTCATTTCACTTTTTTTGTCATCACTATTATTCTAAAACATGAAAAGTAGTAAAAATATTCATAGGGCTTGTTATATTACTCAGCCTCTTTCTTTAAGGGGGTCCTATTATGCTCTTTTACAAAGTCTTGATTAACATAGTGATAACACTCGCTGCCTTCTCTAGTGCAGCTCAACCAGGTCTCGTTCCATTCGTCGATATTTGTGATATCACAAATCCCGGAAAATATGCGCTGTAGTCCAAACGAGTCGTTCGTTGTAGTTTTTGAAAAGTGATTTCTGTTAAATAAAATATCTCCTTTTGAAGTGGACTTTGAACTTTGTAACTTTGCAGATCTTTTTTATGCTCAAACAGCAACATTACAGACTAACTAAAGTTGAAAAAGTGAAAAAGCATAATAGGACCCCTTTAAGTAACAATATCTAGTGCACAAATGTACAAGTGACAACTCACTTTCTAAAAGAATTAACAGTAAGTGTTACTATAAATGTGGCATTTATAGCAATATTTATTTTGCTCTACAGTACAGAACACATAGTCTTTACAGATTACATACATTAAATGCTCACTATCTGATTCAATCTGATTCTTAGGGGCAATTCATGCAAAACCTTATTTGACGTTTGTGTTTGGTGTTAAGTCACATGACAAACAGATGTAGGTGAATGTTCACTTTCTCACTTCCTCTCCATCACTACCAGATGTAACATGCTTTCTGCATGCCACAGTGTGATCTGCTATAGCAGGGACCATTCTCTCTCACACACACACACACACACACACAGTGAACACGCAGCCTCCCAGACAAAACCAATGACTGTTAAGTACGTCTGTTATATTTAACAACATCGCTGTGATGTGTCTGTGCTTTATTCGCTTACAGTTTCAGAGTGTGAATAAGAAATTCAAACCTGGATGGCCCTGCTCCCAAAAATATAGCAACCATGTATGTCTGTGTGTAGTGTAGTAAGCATCTTAGCTTCACATGTTCTGTGCTCTAAATAAGCTGTCTAATTGGTGAGTCCTTTTATCAATCTGCCTTTCACACACATCTGTTCTTCTCTTCAGGATCACAGTAATGCTTTTAAAGGTGAACATAAAAGGGAAAAAAACATTAATGAGCTGAATTAATTATCTGGCTTTACATTCAGAAGTCTGCAGGTCTCTGCTCACAATATAAGCTCTTTTTCTGCACAATGCTGCTCTTCCTGAGTGTGACATCCTCACCTGCCAGGACACCTCTGATTCGATGGGTTGAGAATAGAGGAGAGCGGGTGAGAGACAGACAGAAAAACAAAGGGGAAAAGAAATTGAGGATAAGTGCTCTCTGTGAAGCTGCTGTCTGGCTGCTGAAAGGGGGTCTTTGTATAAAACAATCTTTCATCACTTCAGGGGAGAAGAGAAAAGAGAGACAGAAAGGGATAGAGAGACCCACCTGCACTTCCCTTGCTCATACTGATATGGAGTTTATACACACACACACACACACACACACACACACACACACACACAAACCTGTATTGCAGGTTCCACAAAAATATTAAGCAGCACACCTGCTTTCAACATTAATAATAATAAGAAATATTTCATGGGCACCAAATCAGCATATTAGAATGATTTCTGAAGGATCATGTGACACTGAAGACTGGAGTAATGGCAGCTGAAAATTCAGCTTTGACATCAAAGGAATCAACTACATTTTAAACATATTCAAATCCAAAACAGTTATTTTAAATTGTCGTAATACTTCAAAATATTACTGTATTTTTATCAAATAAATGCAGCCTTCGTGAGCATAAGAAGTCTCATTAAAATATCCTACGTACCCCAAACCTTTAAACAGTAATGTACATAGTTAAACATTTACGTTAATGCCAAATGGACAGTGTAACATGCTATAGAAGATTAAATAAAAAAATTCTAAAATTTTAACTTTTGTTCTAACACATAATTGTTGGTTGAGAGATGAAGGGCTTGCGAATCCAGTCTGATGCTGATATTTGGGAAAATGTAACCAATGGTATGAGTTTGGGACGGGCGTCAGTGGAAACATTGACATTGTTGCGGAAGACATTATTCTTTGGAAAACACTCATTATTTTTCCACTTACTTTTGGTGCCACTAGTTTCTGGTTCAAAAATAACAAAATGTAATATACACTTATAGCCAAAAGCATTATCAAATACTGAATAACGAATGAACTAGGGCTGTCAACGTTAACGCGTTAACGCATGCAATTAATTTTACAATCCTTAACGCGTTAAAATAATTTAACGCAATTAACGCAAAATGACTGAAGCACAATTTCTATTCTAACCCTTTAACCCAATTTTGCTTCTCTGCTTGCGATCAGATAATTTTAAGCTGCTAAACTCCGGGAAAGTTTTCAGTCCAATGATCCAGTAAGCGAATGCATTCAAACAATCCGTCCAAAACAGCGCTAATATAAAGTAAACCAGGCTGATTACATCAGAGATTGCAGAGAGAACAGAGACTTGCGTTGCGTTTTCAGTGAATTATTCATTCCAGTGTGTTTCGCTTTAAAACACGAGCTCTGTCATATTCTGTGATTGTCACTGAAGAGCGCGAGCCCTCACACATCATCACGCAGTGTGAAGTACAGACTGAACGGGTTGTCAACACATCCCACCGCTGTATGGCCAGATGAGACGCAAACTACGTTTTCTCGACTGGATAACCAGTCTCGCTAGTAAAATTTTGATAGATGAAGACTGCAATCAAGTTAAAGACGATTACGGTGGCGTACAGGAGTCGTACAGTAAGCACGCGTGAGTCCGTTATAATAATGTGTGTATGAGTGCTCTTGACGCACTGATCTCACATTGTATTTATGCACAGGCACAGACATTTCTGTACATTCACGTTGTTTCCACACACATGCATGATAATGTTTTGATTTGTCATGTGTATGTTGCTGTGTTTATTTATACTGAATGGATCCGTGTACTGTAGTAGATATATGCAGTCAGCAGGCGGTTGGTTTAGGGTTTTTTGGCATCTCCATGAGGTCCTGTTCAGTGTCGCAGCTTAACTTCTCTAAAATGTAAAAAAAGCTCTTTGCTGTTGCACTGTACACATACTATAAAAT